CACTGCTCTATTAAACTCCCTGACCCCCTCCCATCCACGCTCCAGCTGAAGTTCCATATCCCGATTGCAACTCCGGCTGATAATACAAAGCAGGAGGCGAAGCTGCTGCTCAAGGGTGCAGCAGATATCGCAAACAGACGTTCTTTAAAGCCGGATCTTTCGTACTCTAATGGACAGGATATTCTGTGTAACCCAGAGCAGCTTGGCTATCATTCCTGTAACCGTAACTATGACTTTAATCGTGTGAAATGCATGTTTTTGAAGCCTCTGTAAGCTTCCTGGACATTGCCAGTCCCCGACTGATCACTAAGGATCCTTAGACAACTAACTACTTAATTTTGGCAGCTCGACATTACTTCATCACATTTTCAATATTCTAACCTGCCATCATCGAGAAGTCTATGGATGTCAGTCAAGCGACGTTCATATGACAACAAGTTTAAAAAGATATTCACCTACTACCAACTGAATGAACCCGATGCCGGTGTAATGCCCGACAAGTTTCGAGTGTGTGCCATTTAGATGTGCCATTTACGGCCGAGGAGGACATGACCTAACTGTGTTTATAGGTTTCCCCCGCGACTATGACGTATCTCCGTTATCAGAAATCTGTCGGGGGTTTTACCGGAGAGAGGACCATTTGAGAGTTATCCAAAGCCAGTAAGCAACAAAATGGCCGCAGACGCGTCGGAGGAAAACATGGTATCCTAAAGTAGCTGCTACAGGCGGATTTGCCTGCGACGAAGAATATGACCTTTGACGCAGCAACAAACTTCGTCTAATTAAATTTGAGAAGCCAAAGCATCAGAACATCATTAATCTGAGTGCTCAGTTTTCGACCCTGACACCTCAATTGACGATGACAACAATAACTGTTGCTTGTCACTTCACGATGAACAAACAATAGCTCTCCGTACAGAAGCACAGATCTAACTATCGATCTGTATATCCTACCCTTAAGTACAGCTATACAGCGCTTATATGTTAGACAATATTCCGCTTAGAATTCAACTGCCAGACTACGCTCGGAAATTTCACAAAATAACCTTAGTTACGGCGCATCAAAGATGTGTCTATCGACTTTCATCGCAAAGGAAGTCCGTGACTTGATCGGATGGACTGATGCCCAAAGAAAGCATGATCAAATGCGCTCATGGTGCCGCATATCCTCATAACGGAAAACGAGGATTCCTGGGCAGAGATAAGGACATACGGAAAAAAGATTGAACATTTTTTCTTGCAACTTCCATGGTGAACGGTAGGAAATTCTTCGTATTAAGTGGAAAATATTTGTACGTTTAAGTTGTCACGGCTGTGAACCAAAGACTGCGCTTTTCGTTTTTCAACTGCCACATATTTCAATTACCAAAAGCACGTTTTAGTTAACCATTTGAAGTTAATCGCCACGGCACACTATGTTGGCGGCAGTCTCAGCCGTTTTCTTCACTTTACACTAGAATATATGACACTGAAGCACTGCATTTCAACCAGAAGATCAGTCATTACAACAAACTCAAAAACGACTGACG